AGTAAACTTTACATCTGAGGAGATCCAATCAGCTAATTATTCTTCTGATTAAAATATTTTGGATGTTCAAAGATTCCTAYTGGATTTTGTCTCAAATCTGCAGTCAGTGCAGGTTGACCTTTTCTAGGATATTCCATATTCCTTAGGTCCTGTTAAATTCAATTTTCGAGTATAAGAGTAATATTCTAGTAATAAATAAAAATAAATAAATAAATAAATCAATAAATCATTTTGAGTGACATGATGTTGATATTTTAACAGTCAACAGGGTTTCATGAATTTTTATAGTTTCCAATGTCCAGAAAATAATTTAAACTCTTGACAGATTTTTTAACTGTTTTATCAAAGTTTTGAATTTTAACTAAACCTATGCAGAAGAGCTGGAGATATCTGATAAAGTCTCTGAAACTGACCAATCAAATGTCTGCATTGTTTAGGCTACATTGAAGGAAAAAAATGTGACCTGACTAAAGACTAAAACAGCAAACTTTACCTGAAAATTCAGGTAAAGATGTTAGAGATGTTTGTTTTATTATTAAATTAAATTCCCTCCATAAGATGATCTTGTGGGAAGAGTGACTCATGCTGTTGTTGGAGACAAAGGCTGCACTGATGAATGTGTCAGTGTCACTGGTTTGCGTCACAAGGTGTGAAGAATATTTCAAACAAAAAAAGTAAGAATAGTCTAAACTTTCTGTTTCTCAGAATTGCAAATTAAGAAATTAAATGTCTGACTTCTACACAGCAGGTTCAGGCTTTAAACCTGTGCAGTAAAACTTACCAGTTTTTTTGCATCACATTAAAAAAGGTTTTCATTTTTGTTTGGTTTAAGAAGAAATCACATTGGATAGCACTTTCTAGTTTAGCCCAAACTTCACAACCATGTTCCGTCTTTATCCTGATCATCAGTTTATATGGAGAAAAAATAGACTCATAAAGTTTGTGTATGTGTAATAAAATTTGTGGGTGTGTAATAAAGTTTGTGTGTGCGTAATACATTTTGTGTGTGTGTGTAAAACATAATTTGTAACCCCTAAAAACATTTTGGGCATAACTTTGGGTTTTTGTAAGTGTGTATTCAAATGTACATGCAAATATTAATAAGTGACAAATACAAAATAAAAGTACACACGCACAAATATAAATTACACAAACATTAAAATTTCACACACAATTTTTTTTCCTCTCAGCGGCGTGAAAACAGTCTCAAAATGATTTGTGCACTCATAACCTGATCCACGCGTGAATGTAGTGTTTTCCGTGCGTTTTTAACGACCTGTATGTGTAAGAGCTAGTTTGTGTGTGTAATTATCAGATTTGTGAGGTTGAAGGTAAAAATTTGTGTGTACTAGGGTTGGGCATAATCGTATCGTGTGCAATTAATCGTCAGAAAAATATTAATCGATTATTTTTTGGCACTTGATGATTAATACAATTAATTCCACCAGGCAGATTGACTGGAGATTTCCCCAGTCGGTCTGCTCGGTGCTCCTCTCCGCTTCAAATATGACAAACATAAAATAAATAAAGT